TATTATGTTGGTTACATGTGTTTCGTGTTAAAAAAAAAAAGTTGTTATATTGTGGATTTTAATTAATCTGACGTAAGTTATTTATTTTGTATTCACGTTACGATATTTTCTTTCATTTCATTTTTCTTTCGATCGAAGAAAAAAATCTTTCTAAATTCTCATGTAGTTAGATTGTACTTTAATGATTGCATGGATTCGCAACGAAATAAAAAAAAAAAAATATTTTGTTGGCTTTGTTTACATATAATTGTTTGAATAAAATGATTTATCACTTTTTTTTTGGATGGTTTGAAGCAATTAAATCTTCCATCTTGCGTGTCGAAGCGCAGTCTTGATTCTAGTAGTATAATAGTAATTTAAGTTATTAATTTTTTATTTGTGACATTTTAGTTTGTTTCTTCGGGCATCTTGTATTTATTTCAGTCGAGCTGTTGAGTAGCTGCCACTATGAATGGTAGCACGAAAGTAGTTTAAACAAAATACTTTTTAAATTTTAACAATTATCAATTGCTTAAGTAATTGATGGATTACATTGGTGCACGAGAATGTCTCACCGTCGCGATAAAAAGTTAGTCTTTTGTCGCTAAGTTCTTCAACACTTACCATTGAATTAATTCGCTTCGATTATCGAGATTATTGTGGGAATACGGCGTTTTAAATTGATATCATTAATTATCGACAAGGAAAACTTATCAGTAAAGTCATAGATGATTATTATTAATACTATTTATGAAATCGAATGGTGATTACTAACAATTAGAGTCGCCTTAAATTAAAATACTATTTAAAGAAAAATACACAGTGCGCTAGTAAGTACCTATCGGAATGGAGTTTTATTACTGGAACGTCTTAGAACTATAGAAGAGTCCACTTGATCCTTAACATACCGTGAATGTCCGACTTCCTACCGTGAATGTCGTCATCCACCCAGAGCCATTATCATCAGCCCATAGTCATCCACCGCTGGATACGGACCTCTACCGATTTATATCACTTGGTCCGGTCTTTGAGTCTCCTCATTCATTTCTGGCTGGTCACTCTTCGCACCAACTAGCCGGAGGCGCCCCAACTTATATTTTACGGTGCGCGGTCTTCAGTAAAGGACCAGTCTGCTCCAGCGATCATGTGACACGTTGATATCTTAATTCGTACTGTATATATATATTAATATTATAAATGAGAATGATAAATGTTTGTATGTTTGATTGTTTGTTACACAATCACCCGATAATTTATCAACGGATTTAGATGAAATTTCGCACAAAGAAAGTTTTTAATAGAGATTACCTTATAGGATAATTTTAAGGTAATGGTAAATGACGTGTCCCGGGCATCACCGGGTTTATTTGTTAAAATAAAAACAACAGTACATTAAATGGTTCGTAATATTACGTACCAACGGCTCTAAGAATCGACTGGTTGTGTATAGATTTGAGACTGATACCACCTGTATCAGTCTCAAATCTAGGGCCTCTTGTGAGTCCGCGCGGGTAGGTACCACCGCACTGCCTATTTCTGCCGTGAAGCAGTAATGCGTTTCGGTTTGAAGGATGGGGCAGCCGTTGTAACTATACTGAGATTTTAGAACTTATATCTCAAGGTGGGTGGCGCATTTACGTTGTAGATGTCCATGGGCTCCAGTAACCACTTACCACCAGGTGGGCTGTGAGCTCGTCCACCCATCTACGCAATAAAAAAAAACAACTTAAATTCGAAAAATTACAATGTGTCTAATTATATTATTGTTCGTTAATTTAGAACGAGTAAACCCATAAGGCGCGCCTAGTTTTGTTATGGTATGACACTATCTTTATAAATTGCACATAAGTGATAACGCTACTAGCAGATTTTGCATCAAAGATATAAATTATGCATAACATTCTTTGTGTCTGTGATGGTCTAGCACGAACATAAATTAATATCTCATAATAATATACGGAGCGAGATATCTACAGGCTTTCATCTCGTAATAAATATGGGAAATACATGCGAGTGGTTTTCGAGGAAGAAGAATGAAGGTTATGGACATGAAACAAAAGATCTTTAAAGGCGTAATTTCGCCCGTATATTTTTTATCATATAATACATAGTATAAAACAAAGTCACTTTCTCTATCCCTATATCCCTATGTATGCTTAAATCTTTAAAAATACGCAACGGATTTTGATGCGGTTTTTTTTAATAGACAGAGTGATTGAAGAGGAAGGTTTATATGTATAATAACATCCATTAAATAGTGGAGAAATCAATAATAAATTACAGTTTCCGAAGCAAACCGAGGGCGGGTCGCTAGTCCTTAGTAAAACAGATAAACACATATGACGTAAATCACACTGTGTGCATTGCGACCTATTGGATTGCTTCAGGTTCGCTGATATGTCTTAGGAATTCATAGTCGTGCGAAAATATCGCGCCTTGACTAAGTATACAGCCACACACAAAGACAACACGGAACCGATAACTTAACCATAATGCATTTTTAAAAAGGTCCTTTGGAAGACTTTTGGTCTATTTTTTGGGTATTTTTTTTTTATTTTTTTTTATTGCTTAGATGTGTGGACGATCTCACAGCCCGCCCGGTGTTAAATGGTTACTAGAGTCCATAGACATCTACAACGTAATTGCGCCACCCACTTTGAGATATAAGTTCTAAGGTCTCAAGTAGTTACAACGGCTGCCCCACTCTTCAAACCGAAACGCATTACTGCTTCACGGCAGAAATAGGCAGGGTGGTGGTACCTACCCGTGCGGACTCAAGAGGTCCTACCACCAGTAAGTAGTGAAAAACAAGCGAATATTAGCAACCACTGGATTTCTTGCGCGTTTAAGTATACGCTTATAACTCATTAATTTAGCATTATCTACTACACTTAGATTCTGCCAGGAAAAAAGCAGATTTAATACCGCTGACGTCTGCAAACTACAATACAGTAATTTAATGAGACGTCGGATAATGTGAGGTCGGAGATGCTTATAGTAATTTGGGTATCTACGGACTAGTGTGCTTAATGCCAGTTTTATAACGTTCTCGATAGCGTAAAAGTTAACTCAAATTAGTATAGAGTTGGAATGTTTGCCGCTGTTCCAACTACATGTCAATTTGAGTTAACTTTTACGCTATAGAGAACGTTAAAACACTCGCACTAAGCACATAGAAGTCACAGGTATGCGAAATACTTTAATGAGTGACAAGAAACGCTTACACAAATGCTTAAGTTTAGGATTTAGTAATGAAGCGTTTAGAGCATCGTTGGGTAGATCGTGAGAATATATTTACAATTGTACTAATAAATATATAACTTCGGCACAGGTGGGTACATGATACTTATTCTTCAAACAGTGGGCGTAGTTGGGTGATGTCGGAGAAACGAAACACAGTAGTACTTTTCTCGGTTATATTAGGTTTTATGAATCCACAAGACTACAATAATTAGGTAGGTACATATACAGCCCCGCCCTTCATCCCCAGGGGAGGGCGGAAGTCCGGCGATTTCCTCCTGACCAAAAAAAAAAAAAAAAAAGGTACATATACAGGCACACGTGATGGTTCAAATTCGACCGCTCCAGCCGACTGCCGCACGATAAGTGCTGGTCGTGTGCTCCGCTCGGCCGGTGAATAGTTGACCCATCGAGCGCCGACAGACGGCGCTTGCGTCCCATATCTCGTATTGGCTGACAGCAATCATGTGTTGATTGCGACATATATTATGTATACTTTTCAAATAGTTCTTTAATTCTATTCAGTTAATGAGAAAAGACACCAAACATTCTGAAGAATATTATAATTATCGAAATTAAAATAATATTTGATAACAATCAGTCAAATAATTTGCTTTTGGTTTTAATTCTGAAGCTACATTCCAGTTAAGTACGGAACCCATCGTACGTATTTGGTAGATTTTTTTTAAAATGCAATTATTAAATCGAACACGCAATAACCAGTATGAAAACGAAATGCATTAACGGCACGAAACCGGTTTTCATTAAAGGCAGTCGAGAAGCTGGTTACAGAATGTCAACTTTGCATAACCGAAGGGAACGCGTGAAATTCGCTCACGTGGTAGGTACTATATACTTGCCTTTTGTAGTGTGTAAGTCAGTTCAGTATAATTAAAGTCGTCGCACAGACAATACGTGTTTTAATCAACAACATCTAGGCCCCACACCTCATGGCGACCATTCCAAAAAAAAAAATTGTTTAGATTATTATTATTTTTTTTCTTTTTTTTCTTGTACCCCTGTGGTGTAGTGTGTAAGTCAGTTCAGTATAATTAAAGTCGTCGCACAGACAATACGTGTTTTAATCAACAACATCTAGGCCCCACACCTCATGGCGACTCTTCCAAAAAAAAAAAAAAGTTTAGATTATTATTATTTTTTTTCTTTTTTTTCTTGTACCCCTGTGGTGTAGTGTGTAAGTCAGTTCANATTATTTTTTTTCTTTTTTTTCTTGTACCCCTGTGGTGTAGTGTGTAAGTCAGTTCAGTATAATTAAAGTCGTCGCACAGACAATACGTGTTTTAATCAACAACATCTAGGCCCCACACCTCACTTTAATTCATTATGCTTACATTTGCCACCCACAGCGTTTCGCGCCGAGTCTTATCAGTGGGTCGCGATTCCGATCCAGTGCTAGATTTAGCGAAGCACCGCTCTTGCTAGGGCTAGTGTTAGCAAATTCTCTCAGGTTGGGCCCGTGAGCTCATCTACCCGTCAGCGCGTACCTTTAATAGCCCCTTAGGCTAACAGCAAATAGGTCGGAAAAAAAAACACATTTGACACGATTCGCGCCACTGAGAGCTGTTTCTTTTTGGAACGAAGTTCCTTATGGGATGATGCAAAGGGGTACTCTAACCGGGAAAAAATGTCCGTAACGTAAGATTTTTTCTATTTAGTTTGTTATCAGCAGATGTCGCTGCACGTAAATTCAACAATTCCTGAATCGCGGTGACGAGATGTTACACAGAATATAGACGTTCTCATATTTATCTTGCTAAATCATATTTACCTGGCGTAGAGGGATACCGTGCTCATGCAGGCGGTTCCCCAGGACGAGGCTGCTCCATTGCACTGCGGAGTGGTTGACTCTTGCGATTATTTTTAATAATAAAAAAATCATAATTATAAATGTATACCCGAAAAATTATTTTCTTTATAAGTAGAATTTAAAATTAATATTTTTGTAATATGGAACTTCGTTCCTATCCGGTGTGCCACGATACCACACATCACTTTTAGTAAAAAAATACTACAATAAATAATACAAAACATGAGCAGTAGGTAACTACTGATTAAAATTACTTTTACGGTTTAATCTCGTAGTCATGATTGTCGTTACATTATTTCCAAGGTTTCAAATACTTTATAGTTTTTGTGGTCACGGACGACCAAAATTGTATTCGAGGACATTTGAATATTGGTCCAATATTAAAGTGAGAATAAAAAACTCGATATTAATCCGTAAAAATGGTTTTAATTATGTCTAAGGCTGGTGAAAACTGAAGAAAATGTAGAGCATTCAGTAAGATAAATCTAAAGAGCGCGAACACAATGAATTCGCTAATAACAGTGCAAGGATTACATTCGCGCATGGTCATTTTTATCTTCGTCTTGTCAAAACCTATTCCATTTATGTGTAATCTTTGATAATTTTAAACTTTTTTTTTTATTGCGTACTGTGGTGTAAGCGCTTATGACTTACCTACTTCTGTGGTTACTGGATCCCAATAAAGTAACATTGTGGACACTGCTACCCACCTTGAGGCCGAAGTCTCAACTGTTATAATAGCTGTCCCATGCTCCAAGCTGGAACGCAAGACTGCTGCACGGCAGAAATAGGTGGTGCAGGCTCCCAAGATGCCTTATCACCAGTAAATTTAAAGACACTTATTGTAGAAAAAAAATTTTTTTTTTTGTGCTTGTATTGTTGGTGTTGTTTTTTTATTGCTTACATTATCACGACTTACCTAGTGTTAAGTGGTTGCCGGAGTCCATAGATATTCACAACTTAAATGCCGCCATCTACCTTGAGACATGAGTTCTAAGGTCTCAGTACACAACGGCTGCCTCACCCTTGAAACCCGCATTACTGCTTCACGGTAGAAATAGACAGGGTGGTAGTACCTACCCGTGCGGACTCACAAGACATCCTACCACCAGTAATTACTAAAAATAAATTAGCGGGTTTGACTTTTATTACACGATGTTATTCCTTCACCGTGGAAGTCAATCGTGAGCATTTGTTAAGTACGTATTTCATTAGAAAAATTGGTACCCGCCTGCGGGATTCGAACTCTGGTGCATTGATACAAATGCACCGGACGTCTTATCCTTCATGCCACGACTACTAATATTATTAATTACTACTGTACGACGACTAATTACTACTGAAAGTGGTATAAAAATGTGTCCCACTCATGTGATGTAAAAAAATTGTAAACTGGATTATTTAATGGACTTGTTTTTCTCTGTTTAATGTTAATTTAACAATTTCTCGTAATTAATTAACTTAATTTCGGCCTTGTGTACTGCGGAAAAATATATCGTGAATAAAATTTACTGAAAATCGTGAACATTCGCTGGCTGTGTCTTTTCGGTAATTCCGTGTAACTGACTCAGATTTCGCACGTATTGTTTTGTACGTAGAATAAATAATGTTAAATTTACACGTTCGTTGATAACGCTTAGAGATAAAAGTTTATTGCACCATTTTTGACGTCTTCAACGATTTAGTAACAGCTTGCGATCGGAGCGTCGTGACTCGTGCGCTTCAGAAGACAAAATCGCGTCGCTTCGGCTCTGTAGAGCGCTATCTCTTTTCCGCATTAGAGGCAGAACATTTTGAAATTGCGCCATTTTACCGATCAGTATTGACATTTATATTTATTTACTAGTGGTCCCGCAGTAGTCGAAATACGACTATAATTAATTGAAATTAAAAGTTGAACATTATTATGGCTATATTATCAAAGACTACTTCTATAATCACAGATTTCGCCAAGGCTACCCTACAGACAAATAATATTAAAGATAAACAATATTAACTTATTTTCAATTTGACCACAGACTTTCTCTATTGATATAATGTATCTTTTATGCATTATTTTTGAGAAATATTAGTATTGTGCACTCCTTCTCTATATTCTCTACAAGTGTGGAAAATTTCATACTACTCCGTCCGCGCAATTTTCGTAAAAAGGGGTACAAAGTTTTTGCTTCACGTATTAATATATTTATTAGAGTGTTTGTTCTTCTTTCTTCTCATAGTATTATTATTTTACCTGTACAAGGTCAATGTTAATGGAGTGATGTTATATCAATACACCCTATAGACAACCAACTGAATTTCTTGCCGGATCTTACCACTGGGCCGCGGTCCCGACCCGGTGGTAGATTCAACGAAGCACTGCTCTTGCTAGGGCCAGTATTAGCAAGCAACAGTGTTAGGAAACGCTGTATATTCTTCGCCGAAAATTAAATGATAAGCAAATCTTGCTTTAAGCGTAAGCGAGTGAGTTGTATGATGATTCAGACTTTTATTTTTCAGTAACAAATATAACGTCTGCAATAAGATTTATAAATTAAAAACGTTCTTTTATTATTTATTATGTATTTTGTTTTAATTTCTATGAGCCTGCAAGACACGGGAATTTAACTGTCGGCAAAGAGTTCGACGAGTAACGTAATCCAAATATCAGCCCACTGAGTTTCTCGCCAGATATTCTCAACGGGCCGCACCTGCCCTTAAGCTGTTAGGTCTCCTTTGGAGGCACTCCGGCAGTTGTTAGCAAATCCCAACTATCCAGGCTGAGCCCGTGCTCGCCCACCTGTCCTGGTGAAACTGAAAAGGCCTCAGAGCCACCAGCAAAATTTCTTCCTAAAAAGAGGACAATTCTCTATAAAGAAGTGTAGATATGACAGTGTAGATAATAATTAATTGATAAATTATAATACTCTCATTAACACTTGTACAAACATTCGAAAAATCATAATTTCGATTTCGTAATAATATATTATTTTGTTTTTATAAAAATTTGTAAATTAATTTTCGTATGTTCATTTATTTATCTATATATTAATACGTGAAGCAAAAACTTTGTATCCCTTTTTACGAAAATTGCGCGGACGGAGGAGTTTGAAATTTTCCACACTTATAGAGAATATAGAGAAGAAGTGGACAATGCTAATTTTTTTAAAAATAATACGTAAAAGATACATTAAATCAATAAAGAAAACGTTACACACACTACATACCATGTATTTGACGCACACACGCATGCATACTATTTATTGTCAAACTTTTGTTCTTGACGTCTGTTGTCGAATTGAGAATAGAATATTGTTTGTCTTTGTTAATATTTTTTATAGTGCAGTCTTGGCGAAATTTGTGATTATAGAAGTATAAAATACATTCATAATAGTGTACAAATTTACAATTCCAATTAATTATAGTCGAATTTCGACTACTGCGGGGCCTCTAGTTCAAATTATTACCTTATTTATCCTTATTTATCTATTCCGTGGGTTTTTCCAAAACATTCTAAAGTGGTTAAAGAAAAAAGGCGTCTAATTAAAATGAGATTAGCAATTTCTCATATAATGGTTTAGTATTTTTTTTTTTTTTTTTTTTTTTTTTTTTTTCATGTGTNCGGCAAATGTACCACGAACACAAAAATAACTAAAACGAAACAAATAAAAGCTTCCAGGAAAAACACTTGGTCGGCAGATGTATCACGATCACAGGCCGCGCGAACAATGGCCGGGCTAACAAAAGCCGGGCGAACAAAGACCGGGCGAACGAGTGGTCGATGAGCACGTCCGCACGTGACGGGTGCCTCTATCGGAATGGTTTAGTATGATTTCTGGTGGTAGAGTCAGTATGGTATTATGGGTTTAGCGTAGGGTACTGGAATAACCTTAAAAGTAATTAAGACCTCAAGCCTCACGCAAATATTCTCACTGTGTTGGCGAATAGCGTTATATAACAGAAAAAAATACGATATTAAAATTTACAAGTCTATTTATTGCATTTAATTATATTATTTGTACAGTAATTAACATACAAAAAAATAAAACACATAACACAAATGCGATACATAAAGACACAGTATTGTGTTAGAAACCATAAAATTCACAAACTGGAATAGATAAAAAAAAAACAATTAAATTAGTGCAAACCAATTAGGTTACTTAAATAAAGGCTGTTAATACAATTGACGAACTGTATCTGTGATCGAGTACCATACAAACAATTTTAATAACCACCTTATACACGTAATATTATGGAAAGTGCGTATTATTCACGAACCCATGACGTTAGTCGCTTGAATGATTCCAATAAACGAACAGAGTATTGAGTTCCTCAGAATAAACCCGGAGAATAGAATATTTTAAATGATAATCTACTTCCGTATATCCGGTGCATCCTTGAAGGTTTTACGTGAAGTTTTAATGGCGTTTTATCGTACGACCGCTAATAACCGTTTGTTTGTATTTTCCTGTTTGTACTGATGCAGACTAGACTCTCCACCATTTGCCTGCGAAGGGTTCTTGAATACTGTGGCCACATTGCAAGGAAAGAAAGTGACAACTTGGAGAAATTGGTGGTCACTGGAAAGGTCGAGGGCAAGCAACCAAGAGGCAGGAGCTCGACCCGTTGGACGGACCAGATTCGTGCAGCCCTTGATATCACAGTGCACGATGCTCTACACTCAGCTGCAGATAAGAACAGATGGCGGTGCATTATAAAAAACAAACTGTTTCAAGGCCATGGACACGACCCTCAGTAATAAGGAAACCGACGCAAGGAGGAGGAGGAGACTGATGCAGTAGCTTGTTCGTTGTATGGAGATACAGTTTCGGTACTGGTCACTGTCCTCGTCAAAGTCATCGATCGACGAATTAACCCACTGAGTTTCTCGCGGGATCTTCTCAGTGGGTCGCGATTCCGATCCGTTGGCAGATTCCGCGAAGCACTGCTCTTGTTAGGGCTAGTGTTAGCAAATTCTCTCAGGTAGAGCCCGTGAGCTCATCTACCCGAGCATAGCTGGAATAACCTTTTTTCCCAGCGAATAGGTAGGGTAACAAAAGTCTCGATTTTCTAGTTCGACGGCGGACTTCGTATATATCGAAGAATTAATTCTCTGAGCAGCGTAATCA